GAGAAGGGCAACAGACCTGAGGGAGGGTTTGAAGACAAAATTGCTGATAAGCAGCAGTTGATAGAGCTTGGGTTGTTTAAGCTGGATAAACAACCTGGCAGCTTAAGGGAGACCTCACTCCTCTCTACAACTGCCTGGAAGAAGTTTGTAGCCAGATGGGGATTGGTCTCTTCTCCCAGGTAACATGCACCAGCACAAGAGGAAATGGCCTTGAGTTGCAACAAGGGAGGTTTAGATGGGGTGTTATGAAAAATTTCTTTGCTGAAAATCCGGTCAGGAATTGGAACAGGCTGCCCAGGGAAAATGATGGCATTACTGTCCATGGAAGTGTTCAAAGAATGTGAGAAGGTGGCACTTGGGGACACAGGTTAGAGATGAACCTGGAAGTACTGGGTTAACAATTAGACTTTCTGATCTTAAAGGCGTTTTCCAACTTAAGCAATTCTATGATTCCATGATTCAATTGTTTCAAAAGAGAAACAGCACTTCTGACCAGGCAGCTCTCCAATGAGCACCAGCTGACTGCAATCTTGAGAACTAACATAAGAAGGGTTTCTCTTTCCCCACTGCCATAACTCCCATCTCTTTGGGGATAATGTTGTTCAGGAATGTCAGTCAGCACCTACTCTGGCACTAGCTTGTGTCTCTAATGCTTCTCTCCCATGGAAAACATATTTCCATCTGCATCATTATTCTTCTCTTTGTCTGAATAGACACTTGAAACTGCTATCTCTAATTCTTGATTTATCCTCTCATTTACTAGCACTCTGGCAGACTTCTTAGTTGCTATACAGCAATGTGAAGCATCTTATTTTGGGAAAATGCTACATTTTATCTCCTCTTTGGGGTCACATTACTTTCCAGAATTGGCAGACTTCTTTTTAAATTTGGTATTTTTTTCCCCCTGATACTCTGTTATAATTAGCACTAAATCAGACACTGAAGGCACTGGAGCAGAAGGCTGAGAAAGGGTTCCCTGGTAGTAAAAATATGAAAGACTGAGATAAAGATACTTCTGCTCCCAATATTCCCTCCTGGAAACTACAAATCCAGCAGATGAGAAGCCATCTGTGTGGATACCTTGTGATGCATTTTAATGCTAAAATAGTAATTGAGCTGCACTTCTAGGGCTTCCCTTGCCAGCAGCCATCCCTGGAAATCCCCTGTAGGAGTGAAAGGATAGATAAGGACAGTGCCATGGAAACAACTGATCCTTCCCTTACCTTTCCTAAATACACTAGCAACCGGAAGCTAATTGCAAAAGTCAAACTAACTAACCAAGTATGCACAAATCTAAATATTTTGTGCTCAATTTCAGTGTAATAGTTGAGAACTATGAGTAAATACACTAAGAAAATGTGAGGTCTCAGTACTTTTATTATTGAAAAAAAAGTGTTGTCAACACCTCTCTGTGGTGAGATCTCTAACATTAGATTTGGTGTACATTTTGACATACCTTTATCCTTCTGTTATAGAAATATTTAAAAAAATCAAATAGGCTCTACTAATGAAAAAAATCTGCCATGTTCTTCTAGGGCAATGATTAATGCAGTGCAGTGCTGTAACTCTACAACCTTCCAAAGGAAGCTATAGAGAGACTTTTGAACATCATTAAGTAAGAAAGACATTAGGGAGAAGCTGCAGCTTCAAAGTCATGAGTCTCACACTCACATTTGTAAGCCCAGCAGAAAACAGAAACCTCTGCTTTCTGCCAAAGCAGTATTTCACTGTTTTAGCTGATCAAACACACTTTGCAATTCAAGTTGTTTCTTCCAAGGGACTTAATCCGTAATCTGGGAAAGAAAAATACAACCTTGTTTCACCACTGCTGAAAAGCTGCCAACTCTTGCTCTAGGTGATTGCACTGTATTTGTTTTTCCTGAAGAATATGGTGACAATACATAGGCGGGAGAAAGAAAGACCCCTGCTGCATTCCAATTAACTTTTTGTTCTGTTTAAAAATTGCTTAGAAGGTTGCTAATTTACCATGTTCTGCCTCCACTCACAACTGAGGACGGTGACCTTACTATGATTAATTTAATTTCATGTTTTGGAGAAGTGGAACAGCCTAACCCTGCCCTACACATACTCTGGGCAATTTCTCCCACTTCTGCGACTGCATTGCCCACATCTGTTGGTGATGCTTTGAGTCACTGAGCACTGACAAACTCTCTGCAGCTAAGCCTCATAAAAACTGCAGAGAATTCCCAATGAACACTGAGATCCATAAAGCATTTGGGCATTCTAAGCACACCTGACTCTCTTGTTGACCTCTTCCCAAACTTGCCAGCAAAGTGCTGTAGGCTTTTATCCTTCTGTAGGTATTGGCAGAAGCATTGGCCAAGGAGTGCACAGGGCTGGCAGACAAGTGTTGTGAGTGCTTCAGAAAACACACATTCAGGGCCCAGCTCTCAGGAACTTCAGGTGGAAGGCTGTGTCAGTGGCACCACGAGGATTATTGACTGCAGGACAGGTTTTCTGTAATCCTGCTTTCTAGTTCCTTCACCTGTGCTGCTACAGACAAAAGTTTTCAGATTGACTCCTACAGGCATTCTTACACTGATTGAAGATGGATGTGTATCAGCCTAGCCTGTGTAATAAGTCAATAGTAAGAGAACATTGATTAAATGAGATTAAAAATAACAGATGCATATCAGTTGGTAGACAAAGACTTAAAAAAGGAGGTAAAACTGTACCATACATGGTTCAAAATGGATTAGGACTGTCCACACAAATTAGCAGTCCTTGTGTTACATGAGCTCAGGGCACTTCTTCAATTAAGCAGATGCAACTATGGGAAACAGGCCTCACCTTTGTAGCAAAATGTACTGAGTCAAGACTGAAAGCAGCAAATACATGAACACATACTTGGCAATACACCTTCTTTGTTGGTAGCCCTGGATGTTATTTTTACACATTAAAACACTAAATGCTTTCACTTTCTTTAAGAAAAAAAAAAGAGGAAGTAGAATACACAGTTACTACAGCTTGAGTAATGAACTTCCTCAACAAAACACAGACTTAGGCAGAAGGACAGGTTAGATTTTTTCAATTAACAAAATTTAAATCACAATTTAAATCACACATATTGTGAGTGCTAGTTATGTTGTTTATACTAAGCTAACCAGTCTAACACAATATAACACACTTTCTTCCCCATTACTAGCTCTGTTAAGCTATTCAAGCTTCTTGTCCTATAAATGCTAATTTATTTGCATGTAAACTGTAATTTTGTAATAAACAGAGAGATCAGACCATGTAGATGCAATGACAATATCAGGTTCTTAGTTTACTTGCATCATGTTGTTGGGAATTGTCTTAAATGACTTCTCTTTGGGAAAATGGAATGAAAATCAGCTTTTAAAAAAGAAACTCAGATCACTAAAGTGTGAAATGAAATATAATGAAGCAAAGTGTTTATAAACAGATATAAAAGAATCAGACTATCTAAACACTTATTTAATAACACTGAAGGTTAATTACATTGATTGCATTTTTCAGTCTAAAAGTACAACTCCTATATTTGATTTGTGGTAAAAGAGGAAATGTTTGATTTTTCAGACTGAACAACAAAAGTGGTCCAGAAGCTCATACTATAAACAGCATGTCACTTTTGGTTTGATTCTAGCAAATGCATGAATTTGTCACAAAGGAAAGGTTTATGATTGAATAATAAAATGCAGTGCTTTCCTGGATGGTGTATATACACATTTCATTTCAATGACACAGCAGCCATGCTCATCACACAACTACAGCTGGTGGCATTAAGAAACTGGTCTCCTGGCTTAAATGGAAGACTGCTCTTTTATCTTCAAAACATATTTATGTTGGCAGACATGTTACTGTAGTACTGTATTACTGTAGTAATATAAAATATTAGTGTTATGTAACTTGCTGAATTCTTCAGTAATTCTAAATTCAATTTGGAGGTTCAAAATCAATCCCGAGAAGAAAGCACACGTGTGAAACTATTGAAAGAAACATGCTATTTCTGCTCATCTCTTTGCTTGAAATTTTAAACTTTATGATGATTTTACAACCAAACTAAGGTGTCAGTGCCATTGGGGGTTTTTGATGGAGCAGAGCAGCCAGTTCACAATGATGTTGGACATCATCCTGTAAACACTTGTGCACAGGCTTAGCTTTTAACCATTGACAGTTTCATTGAATTCAAAGGGATTATTTGCATGAGTGTTTTGTGCATCAGCGCTTGCTGTATTCAAGCCACTGCTATAACACACAGGTTTTGAGGGTCGATAAATTAAAAATCCACATGGGTCATCTTGTAAATGCTTTTCCACTTTATTAACACACCCAGTGGATAGCTGGACCTGTCTATCCACTGCTATCACACTGCAGAGAAAACAGGAACCTTGACCCAATTTATCCCATCGTCGGGTCGTTCCTGACCTAGAACCTCCCCAGGATGACAGAGAGGCCAGGCCGTTCCTTCTGCCCTCTGGAATCCAAAGGGAGTTGTCAGAGCAGGGCCACGGGGGATGGGACGCCCCCTCTGGAAGCTGGGGCGCTTCCCACGGGAGCGCGTCCACCCGGGCCGGGTCTGCAGCGGCCCCGGCAGCCCGAGGGTGCGGGGCGAGGGAGGATCGGGAGCCCCGCTGCGCCCTGACCCCGCTCAGCCCCACGGCCCGGCGCTCCAGGCCTGCGCGCCGCCCTCTCCCCTCAGAGAACGGCATCTGGGCCGGGCGCGCCCCCGGCCAGCAGCGTCTCGGCGGGGCCGGCGGTGAGCGGCAGCATCCGGCAGCCCCGCGGCCTGCGGGCCCTGCCCCCAGCGCTGGGCCGCGAATCCCGCGGGAGGCGGAGGGAGCGCAGCCGAGGGAGCCTCGCTGCTCCTTCCTCCTCCCCTCCCTCCGGTCCCGCTCAGCCCCTGCGCAGGGCCGGGCCGTTGCGGGCGGTGCGGCGGCGCTGCCCCCGCCCCTCGGCGCTGGCGGCCGGGACGAGCGGCGGCGGGGTCACGGCGGCGGCCGGGTCAGAGGGTAAAGGTTGCTCCCCCAGCATCCTCCGTGCTGGATACTCAGCCATCTTGGATTCGCGGGACAAGAAAATTCATGCGGTGAGTCCGGCCCCGGCCGCCCCTCCCCGGCCCCGCCGTCGACCCGGGCCTCGCCGCCCTCTCGGCCGCGGCCCGATGCGGGAGGCCCGGGCGGCGGCGCGGCCCTCGGCGGGGCTCGGTGGACCTGGGACCGCCCCACCGGGTTTCCGTTTGCTTTTGTCTCCGAGGGGGAGCGGGGGGGACGCGCGGCGCCCGAGCCGGGGGCGCAGCCACAGGCCCGGCCCGGCCCGCCGCCCCCTTCCCTCCTCCGCGGCCGCGGGCGGCGGCGGCCCCCGGGTGCCGCTCCGGGGCCGGGCGAGGCCGCGGCCCGGCGGTGTTTGGGCCCCGCATCCCTGCGGCCGCCGTTGGCAGCTCGCCCTGCGGCCCGCTCGGCCCGCCCGGCCCGCCCGAACGGCTTCTTCCCGCCGCCGTCCCGCCGGCTGCTCCCAGGCCTCCTCCGTCTCTCCGAGCCCGGCCCCGCGGGGCCGCACGGCCCCCGCCCGCCGCCTTGCCCGGGCCCGGCGCCGGGGCAGCGGAACCTGCCGCCCACGGCCGGGGCTGCGGCGGCCCCGCGCTCCGCCGAGCGGCCGTGCGGCCTGCACCGCGGGCCCCGGGCGCAGAAAGGGGGTGAGACGGGGGTGCTGCTGGCTGGCCTTCGGGGGAAAAATTATTTTCTTTTTTCTTTTCTTTTTTTTTTTTTTTTCTGCCTGCGCCTGTTTCACTCTCCTCCTGGCGGTGGTTAAGGCGGTGTGTAAACAGGTTCTGGCTTTCCCTCGGACGTGTCTGTAAAACAAACTTGAAAGGGATAGAGGCGGTCGCCGGAGGAAGGAATCAGCCTTGCCCTGCCCGCCTGGGCGGCGATGACAGGCTGTGGCGTGAACCTGACCCGTGCTGGGAGAGGAGGTGGCACTGGGTGACAAGTTAGGGATAAGAGAGGGACAGTAGGGCAGTGGGGAAAGATGCAGGTGTCAGAGTTAGCAGTTTGGTTAGCGTATGTATGCTCCTGGTGAAAACAAGATACCAGCTAGTGGGTATTCTCGGTTTTAGGGTGGGTTTTTGTTGTTGAAGTTACAAGTAACTTTGTTTTGGAGGCTCTGTAGTGTGGGAAAATTAAAATATGCATGTGTAAGGTGGTATTTGCTTCTGCTGCCTATTCAAACCTCACACAAGCATGTTTAATTTCTGCTGTCTCTTTTGTCAGGGAAAAAGTTGTTTCCACCTTTGCACTGTTTTATCCCCAGGGGAGGAGAAGAACTTTCTGTGTATCTTTCATAAATATATATGTTTGTGTGGCTTGAGTGTGTGAAGGAGACACTCCTGTGTGCCCGAACGCCAGCAGCATCTGGTGCTGGTGACTGGCTGCTAGTCTTAACTCTTCTGCTGGGGAAAAATAGATGATCAAACCTGTTGTCATATCTGTTATTGGAAAACTTTATATTTTGGGAAACTTGGATTTGTTTCAAACTGTTAAGACTTGTGAAGACCTGCAAGAGCAAAGTAATTGTAGAAGTTTATATTGCAAAGGTGTCTTCCTTTGATCTGGAGGAATTGTTGTGTATGTGTTGATGTACTTTGAGCTCTCTTAAAATGACACATTAGTAGAACATGGCTCACAGGATCAAGTTTTGTGAACTTGAACATGATGTATCTGTCCCATACCTTGTTTTCCTCTTCTTTTTGTCCCCCAGTTCCACTGTTCTTTATGTTGAGTATTCAGCTGGTATGCTAAACTTCAAGGTGTTGACTGCTTCTGATTTTAGAAAGGGATTTGAATACTCACCTATCAAGAGCTGAGTGACTTGACTTGCGAGTGTATTTCCGTTTCATTTTCAGGAAGCCGTTGATAAAGCTAAGAGAGTAGTCGTAGATAAACCTTGTCTACACATCTCCTCTAGAAACTTAATATTGCTGTCAAAGTAGTCATTGTTATTGCAACCCATTTGTGTGTCAGTTCTATCAAGAAATGAAAGAAAAGCCCTTGGCTAAAATGGAGAATAAAGAAACCCCAGAAATTTATATGAAAAAAAAGATTTGAATTCTCTTTAACAGAATCTAGTTTTAGATAATTGTCATTTAGTGGAAAAAATAGGACAGTTAGTGTGTCCTGAAGTTTGATGCTAAAACATTTTCCCATAAGTGTCTGTTTCCACCTGAAAATTTTGGTCTTTACCTCAGTCACTTCATATGAGAATTCTGTGTGCCTGCAGCGGACCAATACATCTCAGAAAGTATTTCTGGTTAATTTTTATATTTCTAAGTGCATTTCTATTTGGATAGAGATTAGCTTTGAAATCAGGAACTTTATTGCTTTTTAAGTCTTTGTTGTAGCTTTCTTAAAAATTACCCAAATATTCACGTTAATGCAAGGTCTGTAGTGTTGTAATTGCTAAGTTGTAACCTCATTATGGTTTTAAAGGGGCCTTGTATCATAACTTTGTTTATTCAAACATATCTTCCACCTTCATCTTTTTATGAACTCAGGAAGTGTATAGAACTTAAAAATGCACCACAATTGAATTAAAGCAGAGCTTTCTGTCACCTGGCTTTCTGACTTTATCTGGAAGCTAAAGCAAAATATTGAATGGCTTGTTTTCCTGTGAGGTAGTATAGAAAGTGCACCAAGTATAGAATTTTATTCAAAAGGAAGTAGACCCCTGTATCTAACTTTTAAAATTATGTCTTGTCTTAAAGCTATAATTTGCTTGAATAAAAGGTGCCTTAAAAATGTGTTATTAAAAAGAAAAAAATAAAAATTCCTAAATTCATGGCAGAGTATTTGCCACATTTCTTGTACATGTTTATAAATGTTAGCTTAAATAGAAAGCCCTTTACCAGTTTCTATAGAAGTACAGTACCTTAGGAAGTCAAATCAGTATTTTTACAACAGATTTAAATGATTGCTCTGTAAATGAGCCAGTTTTTCTCATTTAAAATTACTCTTAATACAGTGTGTATGTAAATTTCAAGGATTGGTAAAAGCATAGAAGTTGAAGTTAGGTTAAATTTGCTTTATCTGAGCTTTTGAGACATAAATAAGTAAAAAAAAAAGTGTGTGAGCGTTCTGCTATACAGCAGCAATCTGCTAATATATTTGCTTTAAATTTATGTCTCAGTTGCACTGCACTGAACAATTCAATTTAACTTGTTTCAGTTGTTTTTCCTGAGTAGAATTGGCCTTTTTTTCCCTCTTTTTTTTTTTTTTCTTTCCAGAAATGCTTTAGTACATAGGTGCTATCTTTGTGTGTGTCCTGTTGGTCTCCTGACCCAAGTTCCTGGAAAAGAACACCTGAGCCTATGAACACCTGAAATTTGTGTGTAGTCTCCTTGACTCAAAAGCACCTGCTTACATGCTGATGGTTAACTTTGTGCATGAGTTTTCAGGATGGATGGTGTATTTTGACAGCTAATTATGCTTTTATTGAGCATTATAACAGCATAGCAAGAATTGTGTCAAATGAAAATACTGCACAGTAGGATATTTAAGTTGTCCTTGTGGAATTATTTTGATTTTTGGAGCAGGTGTGTATATACCAAGCATGGTCTGTGCTCATCAACAAGAGATTCTTATGTAGGATTGAAAATATTTTTGTGTTTTTGTGCAAAAATGAAGAAAAAACCTAACAAAAACCCCCAAAACCCAGCCATAAAATGTTCATATTGCTTATAATATATATTTTATCTTTCATTTTTAATACTCTAATAAAATAGAATATGTTTGTTGTGGTGGTGTGCACTAGCTCATCTTCTGCTCTGGTTGTGTAATGGGCTCCAAGTCAAGGTGTAAGTGGTTCTTGTCCAAAGGGGTTACTGAGAACCCTTAATTTGTCTTGCTGTAGCCCTGGTTATCAGTAACATTACAGAAAAGTGTGCATTATTTTTCCCCCTGTCTTGGTTACTCTGCCATCTGATTGCTTTTTGCAGTGCTAGTACGTATAATTTCACAACTCTACATTTCCTAGGAGGATTCCTTTCAAATTATGCTGGTAGGTTAAAATTTTATTATAATGAAGACTTTTTTTCAGACACATCTCTCTCTTGTTAAATTGAAATGTAAGAGTTGTTAATCAGAAATTCAGTAATAAGTAAACCATTGTTTCTTCCTGTTTCCCTTTTGATTTGGGATAATTTATGGGGTGATATTTTTTAAGTATTAGTTTTCACCCCATGTCACTTGGGATTTTTTTCCTTTTTTTTTTTTTGGTTTATTGAACTTCAGAAGCATTTTTAAAATCTTGCTTTCAGATTTTTTATGTGCTTGAGATCGATCAATTATGTTTGAATATAGTTTGCTGTGGTCAAGTTATTCATCAAAAGATGTAGTTTATTAAACTGAAAACAGGTATAAAAGGCTGCTGTATTTGTGGTACATAAAATAGGAACTCTTACTTTGCATTGCTATTGCTGAGCAGACAGTAATCCAGTGGGCTGAGTTGGGCCATGCTTTCTGTGTGAGTTACCTGCTGCAGTGGGTTACTCTGGGTAGGTCATTTAACCAGTTCATGGCCAAGTTCTAGTCTGCAGTAAGGGGATAATGGTTTCCTGTGTTTCACTTGCCTGCTTCAGGACTCCTGTGGAGCCACATGCCAGTAGCAGTTAGTACATATGGTTAGCAAAAACAATGTCAGCCCCCCAAAATGGCCCTATACCAAGTTCAGTAGGTCTGGTCTGTCCTTACAGGTTTCAGAATGGCATTGCCATTTGCATTGAATCTAAATATGTGTGCATTTGGAAACAATAGGAGGCGGTTTTTATGCACCAAAAAGAGGCAGTTGGACTTATTATGGCCAACTATTTTTAATTTTAAAATGTTAACATTTAGATTTGTAGGCAATGTCTTGGCAAGCAAGTTTTTCTAAAGCTGTCTTTGTAACACAGACATTGATAATGTAATATCATATATTGTCTTTTCTGTAAAAGGGTTGTCAGAAAATGCCTGTCGTGGTGTAAAATGAGCAACTAATGCTTGTGTCAGTGAACTCTACTTGTCTTACTGTCTACATCACTGTGAGTTTTTGCTTTGA